TGGATGGCGATTGGCTTTTATTGCAACCCATTCGACTCCACTTTCAGTACAGCTTTGGTCTGTCAGATCATTCGACAGAAATCATCGAGACAGGATACCATTTTTTCCAGCATTTCCATCATGAGACGGTCGAAAGTTTAGCCGTGACGACCAAATGTGTTTTTATGTGAGTAAACCCACCATTTGCGACAATCCTATTCCTCGCGTGACACATACTCTCTACTCGTTTTCCACATTTCAACACACACTTACACACGCTTCTCACCTTTGACTGTTTGTAGTGTTGATACGTGGCGATATTGTCAAACATGATGGCCGAATGATTTGCCCGCTCTTTTTCATACTTCACCTTGACCCGAAGACAGGGAAAATGCGATCTATCCTTTGAGCACTTGTTCTCGCAGCGCATCGGCTGACCCGCCATGTCGGAACTGACAAAATAGCATGTCGTCTCGGTGAAGCCGGACTCGTGGACGTAGGGAATGATGACCAAATGAAGGAGGATGCACTCCACGATGAACGTTGCCGTGATCAGAGTTGCGCAGGCCAGATAGATCGACTTGACCCACGTGTCCGGACAGCGGAAGGGACAGCGGGAGAACATCGTGGACACCGTGGCCGGCCGGGCTGTTGTGTACGCATGGCAGGGACCGGTTGCCGACGCGACAGAGCCGGACATGTAGCCCAACGTCGCGTCTTCCCCATCCCTTCCCAACGTGCATCCGGCCGGCCCGTCGTTCAGGTCATCGCCATCTCGACACGTCCGGTACAGATCGGAAGCCATTACAATCGGACGCCAAATGATCGACAAGAACCGATGAGGGCATATGGTCGATCGGGAAAAGAGGAATCACACACAATCGCGAGATCGGAGTTCAACGGTCTTATGGCCATTTGCCGGATTTCACAGCAATATGCAATTGCCCAACTACGAAAAAGCACAGAAAAGTACTAAATCCTAAGCAAAGTAGGGCTACATTCGGACGTTTGGTCGTGCATGTCGGATCGGTCAAATTGAAAACGTGAGCTGTCCATGCGAAAGTGCACAAGGCACTATTCGCTCGAGTTGGCAGGCAAATCAGTGAATTAGGCCTAGACTTCGCGCGGGAACATATCGCAGACTTAATTCCCCTAGGTTCTTATTGGCCGATTGAACTGACCAATCCCTAAAGCCGTCAGCCTAAGCCACTTTGGGCCCAATACTCTCTCCAGTGGACTTTGGTGAGGCCAAAGCGGAACTGATCTGGTGTCTGGAATGTGCAATTAATCGAAAAGCAGAGGTTAGGAGGTACAACACAAAATGGAGCACAAGTTACAGAAGTCACACGATGAGCCTGTTACAAGAAGGGGTAGTCTCATCAAACACTGATTGGTTGATTGCCAGGACGAATCAACTGGCCCATAGAGACTAGAAATACGAATGAAGCTGCCGTCCTCGTCAGGGGAGTTTTGGTTGCTTTTGGAGTATTTGAGTAGTATTCGAGCTGTCTTTTTGTCTATCTTTATCTTGATCACTAAG